CAGTTCCACTTAATTACTCCATTTGATCAAATCCTCCCCAAGTGTCAGGTGTCTCACCTGGTTCTGACGACACGGGCATGCAGTTTTTGGATCCCAGGCCTCTCTCCAGGTGGATTCCGTGCCCTGCACCAACATCACCACACAAATATGTCCCACTGGACTGGGACCTGTCCTTCCTAGGTCCTTGATCCTCCAGCACTGTGCCCCAGTGCAGGTTCCTTTTGGTCTTCACATGCTGAGGCCAACACAGTACTGTGCACACAGCAGGGAGCTTGCTGGGAAAATTTACATCAAAGACTTTCTGCACAGTTCTCCAAAGGCACTTATCTTTTGGTGATGCTTTTCTCTGAGGATTATGGCATTGCTTAAAGTAAATGGGAGGCAGAGACAGAGGGTCTGTCACTTCCCAGGGAAGTCACCCTGTCACAGGGCCTGAAGCACAAGTGACAGTACCAGTGCCACTCACTCAGGCCTGCTGAGCGGACACCTGGGCCTCCTGACAGAGCTCCGGGCCCATGACAGCCATCACCTGACTTCCACGAGCCTTTCTTCAGTGCAACCCCCTCTTGGGACCCCAGAAACTGCTCTGAAACAGGTGACAGATGCCCTTTGTTAGGTGAGACCGTCAGCAACCAAATTAGGAGCTCACGCTAATGCTCTTGCCAGTCAGAGGGCCTGGAACGGGAGCCTCAATTGAAGAACGAACATTTGCTGTGGTCTGAGTGTCCCTCAGGTTGTATGATGAACTCTAATCCCACTGTGGTGACAGAAAGGGGGCCTTATGGGTGGAATTAGTGCCCTTATGAGAGGCCGGCAGGAGGCGGATCTGTCTGTCCTCCACCAAGTTAGGGTGCGGCAAGCCAAGTGCCACCTAAGTGTCACCACATGCCAAATCTACGGGCACCTTGATCTTGGGCTTCCCAGTGTCCAGAACTAAAGGCAGTTAAGTTTGTTGCTTGAAGATCATCTGTACTTTGTTACAGTAGCCCAGAACCACCGAGACCTGCTCTCATAATAACCTGCATTTCTCTTCATTCTCCCTTTCCCCATAATGAAAGCAAATGGAGGGCTGCATCACAGTCACATGCCCTTCCTTGAGGCCACCCTACAGCCACATGTGCCAGTGGACAGTGCAGATATAAGACATTCCAAGAACTTGTCCCACAAACAAAAGCAGGACACTTCACAGTAATTTCTTTCAGTAATTCTGCAGGTTCTTTGAACAGCATTCACCTGGTCTTCAAAATGTAATATTGAGCACACAAATTAAGAATGCCCCACTGTTGGTTCCAAAGGAGAAATGAGGCTACTGTCAGCATTTTAGTTTAAGCTTTCCGCATGTGTACATGCATGAGATATGAAGCATGCCTGGTTCCCGCATCCCAATTACCTCCAACCACTGCGTCTTACCTAGTTCCCAACAGCCAAGGGGACCTGCAGGCCGTTTGTACATGGTGCCATGTCCTTGCTGTTAGAACAAGAGGTTGGCAGAGACGGCAAGGCTGCTCTCTTGGAGGAAGGAATGAGGTTACTTGGAGAACACCCTAGGACTGGGGAAAGTGTCTGAGATGTGAACTCAGGCGCATCCGTGCGCCCACAAGATGCCATCTGTGGGTACAGGGATGTGACTAGGCTTGGTCTGTCAGTTACCTTTTAAGAATCTGTCATTCCGCATCTTGACTTTCTTGTAGGAGAGGGAAGTTCTGCAGGCATTGAGCCGCAAACCTCACTGAGGGAGATGAGGTCTGTGTAGCAGTCTACATCATCCAGCCGCCTCCAAATGGCAACTCCTTCCAGAGCAAGTGGGAAGAACCCAAGGCTCTATGGTTACCCTGCCAGAGGCCAGGCAGAGCCATCGTCAGACCTCTACCTCTACCTTTGCACGTGTGAAAGCTATGTCCGAGTACTTACGTCATCCCTTTTCTTCCCAGAGACACAGGTACATCTTTTAACTTCAGAACACACCCTGTCTTTTTAAGTTAGAATGGTTACTGTGCCTGTCCCTTGTTTTGTTATCTGATCAGCAAGCCACAGCACACCAGAAGTTGGTACCAGCCCAGCATATCCCCAAATTTTGGTGTAAAGATTCCATTCAAGCTGATCCAGGACTCCTTTTTGTTCTTTCCTGCCCATCCCATATGCTCAGAATGCACATATTAGATACAACACTGTGCACATTGGTGGGGGACTGACAGGTGGTGTGCTGTGAAAAAAAAATGAGACAGACCTTCCATTTAAAAAGAAAAAGTGTATATCCTAGAGTCCACAAAAGGTTTGGGAAATATGGCGTTTTAGATGTGAATCACTGTAAAACTCTTATGCTTATGCAAGTACAGCACATTAACATTTTGGTTTATGTTCAGCCAACAAAAATAAATAACTGTAGATCAAGCCAGCATGTGGAATGATTTAAGCCACCTTTTGAAAGAGGGGAAAAATGTCTTACAAATCTCAGGAACTCCAAGTGTTTTTATTTATTTCAAATTCCAATAGAATGAATATGTTTTATCTAAATATTTTTATCACACAACTGAAACATTGAATTACTTTTTCAGAAATAGTTAAATACATCAATCTAGTTACAAATTCTAATATAAAGAGTACAAAATACGTTATAAATTGGATTTTAAAAAAAAGAAATACAAATTCTATGGTCTTTTGCATTTTACTGCCTCAAAGTATAATTCGCAAAGCTGACAAACAGACATCTCCCTTGGCAGGTGACCACACGGTCACTCCACGTGGGCATGTCCCAGGGCTCTGGAGTTTTTGTGAACCACAGCAAACAAGGGCGTCGCTGGAAATCCTCACCTGGAATTTTTGCTTTCTTTTGCTCAGTGGATAAAATGTTCTCAATTGGAAGTTGCCCAAGGTACAAGCAGTAAAACAACGAATGCCGCTTCAGAAACATGAAAGTGGACCTTCCTCTCCTGTCTGCAGGTTTGGAACCTTGTGCTTTGCTAGGGTGGGGGTTGGTAGTCTCTGCAGTGAGAGTCCAGGAGGTGCTGTCTTCCCGGTGGACAGAGCACTGTACCAACTTTCTTTGATTGCAGGACATCCCCACTCACCCCATCAACTACACTCGCTCTACTGGTAGAAAGAACTTAAAAGCAACCAGAGCCACTACTCCAGGGAGGTACCAGAGAAAGGCATGGCCTCTGCTGCATCCCACACTGCCACCTAAGGGGGAGTTGGGGAGTGGTTATCGCCCTACTGTCTGTGCCTTACAGAGGTGGGATCGTGTTCTCCAGAGATTTGTGCACAGCAGCCAAAGCGGGGGGTGGGGGGACCTCCAATCCCAGTGGGAAACCAATGAACTTTACTGAGCTTACTGAGTCACTGAAAGCAGCTCTCACTGATTTCCTAGAGAGCCTTAGTATCAGAAATAAAAAAAGAAGTAAATATTGGGGGCAACCCTTAAAGCATTTAATACTTTTCAGAACCAGAAAGGCCCACTTGGCTTGGAAATCTGTGCTGCACTGACAAGGGTGGAACCAGGCGGGCATGTGGGCAGGTACACAGGATGCACCCCCGGGACGACAGGCAATGTCTGCCTCCTCGGAGAATCTAAGCGTTCGTTCTTTGAATTAAGGACTATGAGTGAATAACCTGAAAGATTTTGAGAAGCTCACTATTGGTGTACTGACATCAACAATGAGGAAGAGATGAGAGTGGGGAGGAGGAGAGAGCAAGAGAGAAGGGAAGACAGGGCAGAGAGGGGCCAGGTTGTGCAAGCAAGGAAGGAAGCAGCAAGAGCGCAGGGTGGAAGGGCAGGGGAGACACAAGGAGCAGCTGGATGTAGACACCAAAGCCTTTATTAAGTTACATCAGATCAACACTGTAAAAATCCCGTTAGGAAACAAGGAGACAGCAGAGGTAGTAGAAAGTCTGTAACAGTCAAGAAGGGCCTTTCACAAGTGTGCCAAGCGGAAATTATCTTTCAAAAAAAAAAAAAAAAAGAGCCAATGGAAACATACTGGCTAAATAAATAACAAAACACAAATCGTATTAAATACCATGGAACTGACATGAATGAATGAACAAACCAGTCCAATACTGCTCATCAGTGAGGGACGGAGCCCCGGACCCAGGCCCCCGCCCCAGGCTGGTGTCGGAGGGCGCAAGCTTGGCCCTCGCAGCTGTGTCACTACAGGAAAATTGCATCCAAGTGGCTGTCCTCACTGCTGCGCTCCTGGACGCGTGCGCCCTGCTGCAGGGACCCCAGTGCACCCCTCTCTCCCCGCCAGACTGACTGTGAAGGGGACTTGGGGGGAAGAAAGACACTTCCAGCTCTCATTGCCAAGTGCCGCTCTGGACACCGTAAAAATGTAGACGACACCTTGGTGTCACTTTGGGTACAGAATTTCTTTTAATAACTAAAACACAGAGAGACAGGGATGAATCATAAGCCACCGCACGTTCCTAACTGTCACGGTTTACGTTCAGCCAAGAAAACAAAAGCCAGACAGACGCAGCCACGAGCACTTGCAGCGAACTACGCAAATGATCTCACGCAGGTCAACAGAAAGGTGTGCTGTTTCTCAGGGGGACAGAGGACTGTGACTCTGCAATGTGTTCAAAGTAACTTCACAGAACGATCCAGAACACTCCCTCAGTGATATCTGCACACCAACATGACAGATCGTTCTCATACATACCTGGTGTAAGAATATTAGGAAAAAATAAGTAAAAAAAAATCATATATATATATATATATATATATATATATGTATATATATATATAAAATATAAGCTAGCCAGTTACACTGCATTGTTTGCAAGTGTCCAAAAGTCACCTGAACTGTCAAGTAATTTAAACTCAGTAACAAGCAGAATCAAGAACCAAACATTAGAACAATAACAATAACAATAATAATAATAATAATTAATAATAATCCAACAGGTCATCAGAACAGGAGAGCACACTTCAGGGCGTGTGCCTGTGTGTGCCTGTGTGTGCGTGTGTGTGTGTGTGTGTGTGTGTGTGTGTTTAAACAAGTCTTTGTATCAGAAGCCCACTTTCTACAAAAACTGCAGTAATCCATTACTGTATCAAGTAAACTGTCGCCCTCACCAGTATTAAAGGTTAAGATAATTTCTGTACATGTAAAATTATTGCTTTTTTTTTTGAAAAATATATTTCGCATGCTCATTTTAATCCATTTCCTGCCTTTACAAAATTTTCACAATTAAAAAAAAACCTAGTAAAGCTTTTGCAAAAAATTTCACAGAACATTTTCATTCAAGGCAGCAGTTAACTTCTGATAATGCATAAAATCATATATGTGCAAAACTCTGAAAGACTCAGAAATATCACCATCACACACAGTGTCACGGCAATAGGAAAAGAAAATATTTATCTGTGGAATACAATTTCAACTGTGTACACTGCATGGTTTAAGATCTTTTGTTACGGGCTTTCACCCCCACCACAAAACTTGCATTTGCGTTACTAAGGAAGAGGTATATAAAGCCATCCCCCCGCCCCGGCCTGCTGACCCCACACATCTGTGAGCAAACTTACTTGTCCTGTGGAGGTCACCAGGCCCAAGGAGAAGAGACACCTACTTGCTGCGGTGGTGCAAGGGAGAGAGTGTAGGGTGGGTGGGGTGCAGAAGGTCTCAGAGCATCAGGGCCCTAGTGATCTAGGGTCCCCAGTCTGCTCAGGGACTCTTCTGCCAGTACAAAAACAGGCTAAGTGACTGGTTAAGACGTGAAGTCTTCCTTTGTGAGCAGTTTGCAGAATGTAGCCCTGTTACAAAAAGGTCCTGAGAATAAACAAAGAAGCCGCTTTTCTTAGTGTTCCACTAGCTCGCTTTCCCAAAGCAAATTATCCGCATTTCCATAGCCATGTGTCCTCTGCCAGACTCGGCACGGACAGCGGGAAGGACAGAGTGAGCACGAGGGAAAGGCCAGCCCAGGGGGATTGCAGTCACACCATGAAAGGTTAGGGTCGTCATGGCCCCTACTCCTCCACGCCTGATTTCCACAGCACCTGAACGCCACCTCCTTCCTCTCCTTTATTTGCTATTTTCAGTACCCACTATGACATGGACATCAACCTCAGGTCCACTGCTGTCCTGACTTCGTCACTATTTCAGGCCCCCTACAGTGCTTAGCTTCTCCACTCTGTCCCAAACACACAAGTCTCTTTTCCAGTGTCTCAAACTTGTCTTGAGTGACACAGATGCCTCCGTCCCCACCTTCCCTGCCAGCACCACTGCTTGTTGGGAGAGTCATGGCTGTGGTCAATGAGCACAGACATGCGTGTCAGAGCTCATGGAATTCTAGTCATAGCATCTTTGCTGTCCCTAAATGGCTGGGGAGGAACAGGGACTTCCTCAGTCTCTGTTCCAGCGTGGCGGCTCTGGGGTGAGAGGCGTCAGATCAGGAGACTCCAGCTCTTCTTCCTCGAGGTGGTCGTGGTCACTGTGGTGAGTCTGCCGGGACACCCGTGAGGACACTGCCCAAGCCGTCACGGACGCCGGGGCACTGGAGGCATGCCTCTAGGTCCCCTTCCTGAGGGGCACTGTCCCTGGGTTGGCATGGTCTCTCCCCTACACGAGAAAGGAGACAAGAAGAGAGAGGTTGAGTCCTGCCTTCTGGGTCCCAATGCATTCTTCCCATTTTCTTCTCAACACACAGAAGCACGATCAGTGACCTGTCCTGAGCACAGGAGCCAGGTAGGCGGAGGGCCCCGCCTTCAGCAGTGGCTCTATTTGTGGGAGCAGTAAACATTAAATTTGCCTTGAAGATTGTGCCAAATGGGTAGGAAAGGACCATTAGGCTTCTCCAGCTCTTCCCACATAGGAACGGCCAAAAACAGTGACTACACCTCTACAGAGAGAAGGTTAAGAGACGGCATGATAGCAAAGACTCCCCAGGGAACTGTAGTTCCCACATAAGAGCCTCACAAACAGAAAGAGAAGCACCGCTCTCACACAGGTCTATCAACTTAAAAGAGTGTCCTCAGTTTCCACAATTACCTTGCTGGAAAAGAAAGCAGGTATCTTCAAGAAGTCAAGTGCACGGCGAGATTAAACACAAGCATGAATGTGACTGACAAACTCTGGTGGGTGCTCTCCAAGTGATGTGTGACTCATCCCTGCCTGATAATGGCATTTACCACCCCAGGACCAAAAAAACATGGGCAGATTCATCTTACTTAACTGCATTAACCTTCAGCTGAATCCTGATGAAGTGTAACCAACCAATGGAAATTAATACACATACATAAACTTCAGCCCTTGTGGGAAATTCTGGTCCCCAGCTGTGCCTCTGGGAACCCCAGAAATAGAAGGAAGGGGACCTGGTTGATGTCATGAATTAAGTGCTTCTCTTTAGCTACTACTTCAGAAAACTCTTGTGGAACACTGGGTCTGCACGTGTGACACCGCCACCACTAGACACACAGCACAAGTCAGAAAGAGGTCCAGAGAGGAGTTTGGAGGGGCGGGGTGGGTACAGAGGTGGAGATGGCAGGGTATCTGAAATGCAGGAAACAAGGCAGAACTTCCTTAAGCAGATGGGGAATTTCCTGCCATAGATTTCGGCACAGTGACGGGAGGGGCAGAGATCTCGGGGCTCTTCAGGGTGTCCATCATCAACAGGGCTGACTGGGACTAGTTCCCCCCACGTGCACAAAGACAAGCGAGAGAAAAGCAGAGCTGTTTGCTATTTAACTCTGAGCATCTCCAGGAAGCAAACCTGCTGGTGATGACACCAGCAACACGACCCCCAGGAGATATCCATATGGGGCCTCCTACCTGACCAGAACACAAGGTTTGCACTGGGCATATCCCCTTCATGACACAGGGACAGCAGACAGCCCTCTCTCCATGAAGGTGTGAAGTTTTAAACTGCAAAGTCAAAACAACCCAAATGCTGACGGGTTTGCTGAACTGTGTCATAAACCCAGACACCCGATGCCCGGTTTTGTAACTAAAGAGTCGTTTTAAATTACTGATTCCCTGGGAACATTATTTGATTATTCAATACTGCAGTCCTGCAGGGTTTTTAAGAAATGAATGACTCAAGGAAGGAAAGAGCCCCAGAAATACTTAAATTAAGTGCACCTGCTTACTTTAATATTTTAAGATCAAGTTACTTTTTCCTCCTACAATGAAAACAAGCATGCCTCAGAAAACGAGGGGCACGCTTTTAGAAAGTGTGGCTTTTCTTCTCAGTAGCTGGACATCATGGGCTTTTCAGGGAGGCTGAATATCTGTCTTTAGGCATCTCAGTACTATGGGGTGGGTGTTGACTTCTGCAGCTCTATGGGGACTATTTGTTCCTTTTTTTCTTTATAAGGCAAGGGAACCTTTAGTACAGTCATGGTGTGTAGATGACATGTACACTAACGAAGTGACCCAGACTCACAGGACATCAGCCATCAAGGGAGGTCAGCTAGGGAAGAAGGCTTGTGCCAGACATGCAGGGCCTGGTGTTGGATGGTGACTACCAACTGCATTCCAGACCTCGGTGACTGTGACCTTCGGCTACCAAACTGCCAAGTCAGCGGCGGTTCATAAGACCAGGTGGCTTTGGGGAAGTCACTAGCTACATTTATGACTTACAGCATTATTATACTCAAGAGAAAACGGATAGCATGTTCTAAGATGCTTACTTGGTTCTATGAAAAAAATGCTTAAATGAATGAACCCTTTGAAATTTGACATGTGATCCTCAGAACCTAAAAATGTTACTGAAAATAGATTATGCATACATTCAAATATCCCATCATTTGCACTGGAATATCCAGAGCTAAATATGAGAAAAATTAGGTTGCCATTTACTTTCTTCATTTCCTGTTACTTTGATTAGTGGAATTATTTCTCCAGCTTAACAATTTTAAAATAACATTTAGAACAATAACAAATAAGCTATTTATCATAGTCTTTGAATTTCGGTGAGGAATCCAAACAAATCAAAATGCCAGGTTGTATATTTCAGTAGTCAGTCTGCTCTCTTAAAACCCCACAGGTAGAGAGGTGATGGGGATGAGGATGGAGATTTTTCTTGATTACAAAAGTAATTTTAACTTCTAATGTTTAAACACAATAAAAAAAATTTCTCTACAACCTGACACACACCTCCCAGTTTCTATTTTAATATCCATAGGTCAATAATACACATACATTAACATGTTTTTTAAGGTATTCGTTCTGATGATGAATAGTGGAGACTACCAGAACCCAAATCACTCAGTCACACTGTAAGTCCATGAACCCATTTGTAAAATGACACGTGTACGCAGGGCTCCCCTCGATGAGGACGTGGAGGACTAGCTATCCTTGTGAACGGGACCGTCAGCAACCAAACCACAGCAGCCCCCAGAGCGAGGGCCCTCGGTGGCGCTAGGATTCCCCGCAACCTGGGGGCTCCCCTGTGAACACAGTGCTTCACGCCCAGTGTCTGCCATTCTTTTATGTTTTCTAGTGTTTTTTTTTTTTTAAATAGTACATGCAAAAGAATAAGCTGCCAGAGGTACTGTGGCCAGCTTCTACCTGCTCAAGCCCGTGCTCACCCTACATCTCCAACTTCTAACGCTTAGTTGTCCTTTCCCCACTCCCTGGCTTGCAGAGGGATGTGTCCAGGAAGAAAGGACAGCGTGGACAGTGTTCTAGGGTCAAGGATCTTGTGGAGAGCACACCTGCGACGTGGAGAGATTTACACAAAGCACGCACAGAAAATGACTGCATCTCCTCCTCGAGTCAGTGTGTGCTGACAAGGCCTGGGTGCTGACCTACGATGAACTGAAGCCACGCAGGTTAACCCAGACCTCATGCCCGCTGAACTGTCTCACTGGGAGATGTGACACCACTGGCACATTTCCACAAAGCCCGAGGACACCAGGTGAGGGCTGCAGGGCTGGGCTTGTCTACACAGACCCAAACATGGCACTGACACGCGTGCGCTGGCTACGCAAATACTCATCACGTCGGTGACTGTCCTGCTATCAGGACAGAGCTCACTTCAGAGTAACTGAAGCAGCACCTTACTGAGTGGGCGCCCCTGCCAGGCATGGCATATCTCACTTCACTTCATGAAGGGCGCTGTCATTACCTCACAGACAAGGAAATGGGTTGAGTAACCTCCTGAAAGCAGGAATCAAGACTGGAGCCTCCTCCTCAAGAACCTCAAGTCTTAACTGACATCATTCTGTCCTCGGAGGAGAGCTAGCTGGCCTTGATCAATGTGACATTGATGGCTATTAAATAGAAGGAAACCTTCCTCCACTCCAAGTCCACACATTGCCCAGTTCCATCCCCAGGAGCTTCTCACACGGAACCTGAATTTAATCTGAAGGTAGCTTCAGACTACATTCCCCTCCCGCCAGGTTCAGGGAAGGGAGCCTCAAGCCAGAGCCCCATGTCAACTCAATTCCTTCCCTGCCCTCGTACCCCACAGCCAATCCCTTCCTTCCGCCTCCTCCTAAACATCTTTCAGCTCTACCCTTCTCTTCCACCCCACCCAAACTGAGGCCACCCTGCTTCTGAGAGCCTCCCAGGGGCTACTCAAGACAACTGCCTGGAACCTCCACAAAGCCAGTGTCGGGATGGACCATCACAGCCATCGTCCTCCGCTTACAGTTCTACCGCCCTCGGGATGAAACTGTCGGGGGCTCAGTGCACAGACATCGCGGGTGTCTCTCCAGACACCTGCCCCACACTGCCCACCCATCCCCCATCCCCTCGTTGAGCCACAGTGACCTTCACACAGCTCCTCAGACAGATTCCCTCTACCATGTCTAGGTCTCTCCCCATGCTGATCCCCTGCCCTCTGCCCCACCCTGGTCTCCCGGGCACCAGAGCCTGGATACTGGGGTTCTAGCCATGTCAAAGCATGTATCTGCTCCCTTGTCTAAACCACCCACCAGGAAAATCACTCTCTCACCTACCCAATCCTACACAGGACCTGGCACAGAGTGAGTGTCCAAGAAACATTATTCATGAGTGAGTAAGTGATGATTATAAAACTGAATCTCCAAATATTTTTCCAGTTAGATAATTTAGCATCTATTATGTATGCAAGTAAACGTCCATCAACCTTTAAGTGTCACATCAAAGAATTTCCGCCTGAAGACTGCATTGTGTGATCCAAAAGAGAGACCTCAAGAAGGGAATCGGATTTAAATATTAATTAGCTGATGTTTGCAAAGCATGCTAAAGAGAAAAATGAGCATGGCTGAGAGATGACATACAATGAAGTATGTCCTAGACACAACTCCAGGAGTACTTTTCTAGAAATCTGTAACACATCCTAAATTCAACACCACAATTGAGATTGCCGTAAACAACTCCCAAGGGTCAGACAGAAGATCTCAACCTCCATCTATTATTGATGTGTGGGTTTTTTTTTTTAATTATTCTGGCTGAGAAATCTCTGTGATATTTAAAGATATAGTTCCAAAGTATGTGAAGGGAAAATGACATTACCTTAAAGAACCAGAATGCTCAGTGATGGACTGAAAGGTAAGGAAAGACAAAAGGTACCATGACCTCAAACATGGAAAACCAAGTACTTGTCACAAGACAGGAGTGCTAACCAAGTCCAGATTCAACGCCCTGACCTGAGCCACCCCTGTCATTGGAATGAAAATAAAGCTGACATGCTGAGGCATTCTACCAGGAGCTATGATTTGAGCTGGGGTGATCCACACTAAGCAAGGTCACAGGACTGAGTTGCTCTGAAGATGAAATCAAGAGGTGAGCTGGGAGTAGGTTCAACACAGTAGCACGTGGGCTTGTAAGACAACGTGTCAGTGACCTTTCCTATATCAGAATCAATGAGGAGAAAGAATGACTACAAGTTCCCAGCGTAACTGAAGTAACACAGGTAATTTAAACCTTACTGGTTTGCACCTTTCATCTTTTCCTATGGAAAGAGGCTTAGGCAGAATTTAATGCAGTCAACGGTTGAGAGACTTAGAACTGCCTGGTGCCCGTCACACCCAGCAAACCCATTGTCAAAAGCAGGTCTTTGGTGGATCTGCTTGGTCACCAAGCAGGAACACTTGGACCCACTTTAACTGTGATCACAAAATTCCCCAATTATGGCTTGAGCTTGCTGTCAGTGTGACCCACAACCTTGGCACTGTGGCTCTTTTGGGGCAAGGATTTTATTTCTGTTAAAAAGATCAGTGCTATCCAAATCAAGGGGAGGTCCCATGTGTTGGGAACCTCTTAACTCAGTATTCACTGGGAAGTTATATTTACTTCATAAATTGTCACAGCATCACAAAGTAACTGCCAACTATGTATGGGTTTTATTGCAAGAGACAGAGTCACTCACAAAAAAACCTCCTAAGTGTGAAGACATCTCGCCAGCAACACACGAAGTTTAACACAAAGAGAAATTCTGACATGTAAAACACAGGTGGACGTTCTAAACACACAATAAAAAAGAAAGAAAGGAACTCCTGACCAAGTAGCATGGGCTCTGTGCCCAGCCCCAGCACTCACTAGCAGCAGCCCTGGGAGCCGATCTGACTTGAGTGTCTTGTTTTTCCCTCAGGTGAAACACACAGAAAAGATTCTTGAGGCTCCCTGGGCATCCAAATCCCCTGTCACCCCCAGCTGCTGAGCTTGTCAGGGAGGGACTCTATAGCCTGACTCCACCAGCCAGGTAAGACTTGGGTGAAGGGATGGTCTGCAGTCAGAGACTTCCAGGGCAGCAGCAAAAAGCCATCAGGCTGTGTAGAGAACATAAGAGTGAGAACAGGATGACAGGAAGGCTGGACAGGGGGACACACACATGGCACCAAGTGCTGTCTGCCCAGGACAACAGGAGAGATGACCTACGCATGGCTGTGCTGCTTCCTAGAGCGACACTATGACCCCAACAGGACTCGGCCTCCAGCACGTTGGGGCACAGTGAATGTGCGACAGCCTCACACCTGTGGCGGGTGCATCGGAAGCACAAGCACACAGGAATTTTGATGCGTGTCCACCATGTCTGTGGTGAAACACCACGGTGAACAGGAAACGCGTCCTATGAAAACCACTCTTCAAGGCAACGGTTAGCATTTATTCTTGAGCAAACTCAGACCCTAAATACCTTGAGGAAGAAGTGTGAATAGCAAGTGTTTTCAGTCACCACCAGTCTCCACAGATCCCCTCATCCCCAGCACCACCAACAGCCACCGTTCACCGTGACCCTCTGTAACTCGTGGCCGAGGCGGGCTTCGGTGACCACAGACCCACGGACCACCCACCGGCCGGGCCACGGGGCGGGGGCTTCTGACTCACAGCCACGCAGACCTTCACTGCGGCGAGGAAGACTGCATTTCGGCTCTCTCCAGCCACCGTGCTGGAGCCCAGACCCCCAGTTACTCATAGGACCTACTTGTTTGGGGGTATCCGCAGAGGCCGTGTGAACTTCAGAACCTCGGGGACCGTCACACTCAAACACCACTGTGGGAACAAGGGGTCCGTTAGCACAGGACAAGCAAGTTTCCCGAGTGTGCATTTCTGAGTCCGTCACAGGTTAAGTAAGCACGTTCACGAAAAAGACACCGGCACCCAGCCCTGGCTGGAGCGTCCCAACTTCCCAACACTTACAGCAAGAGGCTGCGGTTAGGCTGCCTGGGGCCACTGCCTCCTTAAATCTGACATTAGCTCTCAGTGTGTGTACAAGGGACCCTCTCTCTGCATCACTTACCATTCTGCTTCACTGTGTCACTGCTCAGGGTCACACAGCCAAGGCGGGTGACTGTCCCTGATACTGCTGTTTCTTGACACACAGTTAGCAGCCCTTTCGGGTCTCCAGCCAGTGCTGAACAGGGAACAGAGAGGCCTACACGACACCACTAGGCATCAGAGGGGTCTGGGCCTATCCACAGTCCAGCCCTGCCCCTCGGGACGTAAAATGAGCCGTGCCCCGGGCTGAAAGAATGCTCTGATTTCCATCAGTGCTGGTCAGCATATTCATTTCTAAAGCGTTTACTCTAATTAAAATGGACATCTGCAAACAGGCTTATTTCAGATTAAGCCATATGGCACCCGGATGCCAAATGTACACATACACTTCTATTAGGGGAACCAGTCCAGAGGTCGATGAGGCTGCCGTACCTGACAGCCACACCTGAATCTAAACATGTCCTCCCATGCCCCGCGAGGGCCGGGCCCAGGGCACGGGGCTGCATACCTGTGTGCGCCCGTGTGTGGGCCCTGAGGTGGCCGGGCTGGTGGAAGCTCTTGCCGCACTCCACGCACACCAAGTCTCCCGGGTGGGCCTGCGTCCGGGGTGTCCCTGCAGTGGCGTGGCGTGGCGTGGCGTGGCAGGGTTGGCATGGAGGTGAAGAGGCAGGAGGGCGAAGGAGGGGGAGAGGAAAAGATCGTTAGTCCATCTGATGTATCAGCATGGGAAGTCACCTCCAAGCCCTGGTGACAACTGTCAGCCTCCATCTTGGCTGAGCTGACAGGTCAGGTATGCGCCCGACTGCAAGGATGCATAAATTATAATGAATTAAAAACCACTCCCAGGACAGGATGGGGACAGGGTGGCACTGCCAGGCTGCACAATGGGCATGAGGCTCTGGGCAGCTGGAAGCAGGGCTCAGCCATCACCTCGCTCTGTCAAGCAGCACAATGAGAGAAGCAGTGACACCAGCGTGACATGGAAGTGACACCCATGGTTGACCAGGTTCAGGGCCCACCTATGTCCCCAGCTGTGCTCCTAGGAGACAGATGCACAGTGAGCCATCCCATGTCTGGCCCTCCTACCTTTCTGCCTCCAGCCCAGACAAGACATGGGGGCCCTGGCAGTCAGCAGGTGACAGCTGCAGCCCCTGGCAGGTGTGTGTGCTGGGCCAACAGCAAAGGCACTAACGCCCCACCTCTCCGGAGCAACCACTTGCTACACCAGACCACAACATTGGGCTTTGTACTTCCTTCTCATCCAGCACTTGCTCAGCTTTGACCAGGAAGGGGATGCAAAGAGTGCTGGCCACCATCTGTGCCCCGCTCCTACCTCACTGTGTCCTCACCACAGGAAGGACATGGCTCACTGCAATGGGAGCCCTAAAGAGTGAGTGTCCCAAAGGGTTTGAGTGTCACTGGCATGCTCAACGGGTTACTCAACCCAACGGTGGAAAACAGACAAAAACACTCACTAGCAAAGTGATGCCTGCAGCAGTCATTTGGCCGGGTCCTTATATTTGCCCCTAACACCTGACATTTGAACATAAGAGACAAAAGAAGTGGATGGCAGAAGGACAGCTTAGTAAGGTGGGTTGAAAAGCCCATCTTCAGCACTGTTTTTCTTGCCCTAACTCACAGTGGCTCAGCAGATAAAAATACAGAATACAGATCATGTTTATGGAGATAGTATTCAGAGAAATGAATGAACACGAGGCAGAACCTGGCAGGTTTCTTAGGTGACAGACCATGTCTAGGATCGTTGGGGAAAGCATAAATACATGCTTTCCTGTTGCCCTATTCAGGAACACAGCTCAGTAAAAAGCTTTAACCAACACTTGTTCCATAAGGAGAAGTCACTGGCTAGATGAACAGGTGCTCTATTCACAGCAAAATGACAATGACTCATGACACTATTACTTCACATGTCCTCTTTCTAAGTCATCTGTGTTTTTTTCTTAGACATGACCTTAAAAGCTCAGTCAACAAAAGCAAAAATAGACAAACAGAAAGCTAAGAAAGTAAGTCAAGAAAACAGTGCAGAGTGAAGAGACACCTATGGCAGGGAACGTGTGTAAGCCACACCTCCAAGGAGGGGCAACATCTGGCAGCCACAAGGACTCATCCCTTTCAACAGGGCAGCATGGAAGAAAGAAAAGCTCAGGGAGCTCCCCTGGTGACCCACGTGGCCTCTGATGTGAGGGGACGGGATGCCATCAGGTCCTCTGGATTCTCCACGATCAGTGAGATAGCTGCTACTGCCCGCTCTGTCAGATAGCTGACACTTAACCTTTTAGACGCGGTGGTTTCTCTTGGTACGCTGGTCTAGGAAGGCCTACAGCTGGGCAAGCAGTGCTGTTGTCACTGTCCAGCTGACCTCCAGATAAGCACCTCTGACAACCCTGCACCCCTGAATTTTCTGGGGTGGCCTCCATGGCATCTCAGTGCAGAGTTCAACTGCGCCCACAGAAGATGCCGCCAGTGCTGAGGATGGCAGACACTGTGTGTTGTTCCCACGTTTATGCCACCCAACGGCTAAGTAGTTCCTAATCCTTTCCTGTTTCTGTTGGCTACTTCTAGCCCAAACTGGCAACAGAAAAATCACAGCACTTCTGCACACCCGTTCTTACTTCCTTGAAGTAACACACACTGCTTTCCTCTGCACCACACCACTGCTTTACTGTTACTTGTCCTTTATGGTCACCGACACCACGTCCAAGCTACTGCAAACTTCTGAGTGAATCAGGCCAGGCATGTGATCCCAGCTGTGTGGGAAGCATAAGTAGGAGGATTGCAATCTGAGACCCTATCTGAAAAATAATTAAAGCAAAAAAGGGCTGGGGGCATGGCTCCAATGATAAGAACACCTGTGTAGTAAATGCAAGGTCAAGTTCAAACCCCAGTACCACCACCAAAAAAAAACAAACAAACAAAAACCAAAAACCCTGAATTAATCAAAAAGATTGTAAATCTCCCTTTTAAACTACCTGGTGAGCAAAGAGCTCAAATATACTGACCTAGAAACTCCAGGTGTGGACAGAAGGCTGAAAGAAAAGTTCCTGGTCATCCTCAAACAGACACATACAACCTTGCAGTGCTTTCACTGTACTGCCCTGTAACACACCATCTACCCAGAGAAAGAGAAGCTGAGAAAGACTGACCAAGCCAAGGGATGTCACTGCTCGGGGAGGTGCATGCCTTCATCACCATCACACTGACCCTTCAAAGTTCCAACTATACAGACCTATATTATTTCACCAGAACGATCTCATCCCATCGTCTTCAATTACTTCCTCTGAAATCCACACGACCATGTACTACAGGCAGGCGGGAAAGTCTAGAGACACACATAACTTACTGTTTTATTTACTTACTGCAGTGTCAATAAGCTATTAATGCCATATGTGTTTCCAGACTTGGGCAGTAACACTGGAGAAAGACTGTAGACAACACCATGGCTTTTATTCTTAGAGGTGAGTCTGTGGCCCCTACAAGGAAGCAATGCCACCCTCTCCTGCTGGGGTTCCATATGGAAACACCCAGGCTGACCCATGGGTGGGTGGGGAGGTGGGAGTGGTTGCTGAAAAGGAGCTTCCTTAACCTCCAAATGTAGTCTGCTATCAAACACGTTTACAGACAGAATTGCCCGTGTGGTAGCCACAGCTATGTCACACTCACAGACCCACTGAGAACTTGTGTTCCCCCCAACCACATGGTGACCAGAAGCTGTACGATTCATCAGTGCCCAGGGAGAGAAGTGAGGCCCCTTCAGATCAGCAGGTGACAACCAACTGGGAGACGGTAGTAAACATATGGACAGGCAGAAGGAAGATGGAGAAAGTGCTGGCTCCCTCGTGTAGTTAAGTCAAGAGATTCATTTCTCCAGGGATGAACAACTCAAAACTCAGCTGTGTCGGTACACAACACGGAGCAATGAGCAGCCGGAGTAAGCAGGTAAACAAAACCTCTCAACTTCAGCTTCTAGTGTGCTCAGCAACACGTCCACAGTGACACTGTTCTCAGGGGCAACATTTCCAAGGCCATGGTGACAGACACAGAGTCCCCATCACACGAAACATCAATAGTCTGCTGACCCCTGGAACGGTCAGAGCTATAGCACTTCACAACAAGGAGAAAAAGCAGGCCCCAGACCAGGTGTGGCTCTGCCACAGGGTAGGACGCCAGATTCAGGAGGACAGGAGAGCAGGTGAGGATGCCAGGGGTATGTCACAGAGGGCTTGCTATGCATGGCCCAAGGACACACCAGCCACCAACGGAAGGCCACCAAAGCTAACGTCATGGGGGGGGAGGGAATGGGAGGACACGACACAAGTCCTTCCCAACTGGGGCATCTGGTCTGATCTGAAATGAATCGACATTTCTCATGGTAAGTTCTTTTCTAAACCTGGGGAGCTAGGACCCTAAAAATGCACCCATTAGCAAATGTATTTCCCTTAAAAAACTGAAATCAGGGTGGGTTTAAAGACCATGAATTTGCTGACTTACGTCTTAATATGTTTTGCTGTGCATTTAAGGAGGACAAATAGTCTGAGGAGCACATTTGCTTTCTGGACTACTGAGCACTTTTCATGTTGGAAAGATAAATATTTAACTTCTCTCATTTAAAAAAAAAAAGGCACTTAGAACCACTCATTTTAAAACTCTTTATAAGGAAAAGGAAAAGACTTCCAGCTATTTGATATTTAAAATTCTGCCATCTAAAATTCTCAAGGATCACTTCTACTTTCTTAGATTAAAAAAAATAACAGCTACGGGCCAGGCCCACTGGACAGCAGAGCCTGCCCAACTCACCCACGGTGTGTGCTGCAGGCCCAGAGCCACTCAACTCACAGAGGCCACCAGCAAGGGTGGCCAGTAAATAATGAGTCTGGTCCACTGAAGGAAAGGCGCTAACCCTGTGCACCCGAGAACAGGGCCAGAGGAGGGAGGTGCCTAGAGCCAGGCCCTTGATGAGGCAGCCCTCGTTTCACTTCGGTGGCTCTGCTGTGGACTCCAAGATGACACAGACCTGGAGAACCGAGGTCAGCAGCTGATACCATCAGGCCATGGGCCAACAGCCCTCATGTATCACCGCGGCCTGTCCTGAGAGGATGCAGGTCACACCATGCACAGAGCAAGGCGCCTGCTCCTAGAGGCCCTAGGCTCTGTGCACTCCCAGCACTGCTGCACAGGTGACAACTTTGCTCCAGGCCTGTGGTGAGCACCTGAGGCCAGGCACAGACCCCGGGTGCCATCTGCACCACCAGACCACACTGCAGCCTGTCTGAGGATCTAGAGGCGCCATGGCCCACGTAGGCCGGGTGCTCAGCAGCGGAGCCCATGCGCCCAACAGGCAGCTGTGGCCACTAAGCATCATCACACCAAAGAGAGGGGGCCTCTCTGCCCCTACCAGTTCCCCCCACCCCATCCCACTTCCCCTAACTGCGTTTCCAACTTCCAGGAGCCTGAGGCACCGGAGTCACAAGCCATTCCAAAGAGTAACCTATTTCCAGGAACCGGGGTTGTGAAGCTCCCAGATGGTATTAGGATCGTCCGGTACTGAACTGAGAGACAGAGCCCCACAGGGGGGTCTCTGGTTTGGTGTTTTGAGGCAGGTCTCACTATGTAGCCCAGGCTGGCCTCAAATGTGTGGTCCTCCCACCCTGGGCTCTGGAATGCTGTTTTGTTTTTAATAGGACCTGTGTTTCCCAGTGTCCCTGAGTGTTCCCACTGTCACATTAAGTGAGAGTGACCTTCAGGTTATGTTCAAGAAAAGGGCACACACCATAGGCACAAATCCAATGGGTGTGAGGAAAACCACTGGCAGGTTGTCTGGTGAGTATTCCCAAGCTGAAAACCCAAAATCTCAGATGCTCCAAAACATACATGTTTCGAGCACTTACATGAAACCACATGCAGAAAATTCCAAGCCTGATGGTGTAGTGCTTACAGACTTTGTTTCACGCACAAATTTATTAAAACTTCTGCATAGAATTACGGTCAGGCTGTGTGTAAGGTGTATGTGAAATGCAGATGAGGTGTCTTTAGTCTTGAGTCCTATCTCTAAGATATCTCATCATGTATATGAAAATATCCCAAAGTCCAAACTCAGAACACTCCTGATCCCAAGCACTTGGAGTGAGAGGGACCCCACCGGCATTCCCTAGTTATCAAGACTGAGATGGTGGCAGGAACGGGAGAAACATGGCAAGGAAAACCTTGTTAGGAGTTCCATCACAGCTGCACCCTCAGCCTGCGATGTTCATTCACCTTCCACAAGATTTTCTTCACTACTGCCAGGCACTGTTAGGTGAGCTTTGAATTGTCACATATAAACATAGCAACTAATACTCCCTTCCAATGGACCAGTGCAATGCTACCTATCGATTTTACAATGACAAAAAATAAAAAAAAAAGTGAAGTATGGTCAAGTCTAGCTGCTCTCACTGCCACTGTTTCAAAGTGGAGGAAACATAACTGGCTTTCCAAACCAGCATGGCAGAAGGGCGTGTCCCAACGCTTGCCGGCCTGCCACAGGGTCCCTGCAGGGCAGCACTCTGGGGCTGACAAAAGTGCTCACGTCCATGGTGCTCCCTGCACATGGTGTCTCCTGGGACATGGGGAGACAGCAGCTCTGCCAGAAAAAGGAACTACCTGGAAGGACTGGCAGGCAGGTGGGCACCCCATGACCTTGCTGGGGGCTCCTGAGTGCCGGGGAGGAGGGAGCCCACACATCTTACCTCTGTGCTCCAGCCCGGGGCCGCTGACACCCCAGCCCTGGTAGAGTGTGGCAAAGTCCTTTGGAATGTATGTCTTAAAGACACTGAGGATGCCCAAGGGCCTGTCCTGGCCCTCGGTGGCCGGTTCCTGCTTCATGGAGTGTACGACGGGGGGCGCCCCCGGCATGCCGGGCTGAGCCTGCGGGGCTGCATCCCCTCTGGACTCCGCAGCGCAGGTGGCCAGCGTCCTCAGCTCCTGGGCCGTCTTGGAGGAGGGCTCTCGGGGAGGTAGAGGAGGGCCCCCTTCGCCTTTCGAGGGAGGCTGACCCTGAGGCTGAGGGCTGAATTTGGCTTTCAGGGAGTCTGGGGCACTGTGCTTGTTTGGAGGGGCAAAGCCAGCCCCTGCCAGGGGGACCCCATACTTCTCCGCCGGCTTGCTGTTGGCTGAAGGCTGGGCGCCCACCCGGGTTATGACGGAGCGTGTAGGGGTGGCACTTCTGCTGTGGCCTCCGCTGCCTGGGGCCGGCACTGGCTTGGAGCTGGCCTCAGATTTGGATTTGGCCAGGGTCCCCTGCACAGTAGCATTAGGTGTCTCCTGGCCATGGCCAGGTCTGGTCTGTCGATAGCCGTCGGGGCCAGACGCCCACAGTGCACAGGAGCCCCCGGAATGACTCTCCTTACTCTTAGGCATGCTAGCGGCTTTCGTGGTCACCCCTAGAGGGGAGGCGCTGCCTTTGGGTCCTGGCACCCCGCCTGGCACCTGAGTGCGAGAGAAACGGGCCAGTAGCAGAGGCTGGCACTCTTTGCCCCCGAGGGCAGGCGGCGGGCCCGTGCGTCCACTCCGGGCGAGGAAAACTAGGTTGCTCCTTATGCTCTTGAAGCCGTTGGGCTGGATCCACGGAGGCACCATGGTACTGCAGCTGACCCGGTGCCAGGCTCGCTTGTGCATCCACAGGACCTCGGGGTAGTAGGTCTTGTGGTTACAGTAAGGACACGGGTGAATGACCAGCGCTGCCTGCAGGGAAGAGGCTGCTTCCTTATTGCTGGCGTCGTCCCGGCTTGACCTCGCACTCAAATCCAGTGGGACCAGGTCTGGGGCAGGCGCCCGTCTTCCTCCGCCACAATGCTCCTTATTGTGCAAATCAGACAGCTTTTCTTTCGGGTGAGCAGCCTGGCTCTCCACGGCGAGCTGCAGGCCAGTTCCTTCGGTGCTCAAAGGGAAGTCCGCCCCATCACTGGAGCCCAGCACCTCCTGCTTCGGGTGGAATGCTGGCATCTTTAAATCAAGAGAAAGTCTGTGTTGTTCGGGACATTTGGAAGTCTCTCTGCTACTGTTTTCAAGTATGGACACCGACGTCAGGATCCCTGCCTTGGACTCGCGGGTGTCTTCTTCGGGTGGGTTTTTTCCAGGTTTGTGACTCTGGCCTCCGCTGGAGAGCATAGTCGATGCTCTCTCTTGGGAAGAGCAGCAGCGTGGTGGCTGTCCCCCTAGAGGATGCAAAATGTAAAAGGGGACGTTACCATTTCTTATCATAACAGACCAAGACACAGGACACGGAGTAGCTAGAAGCACGTCCAAAACACGCTCGCCTCGCACTAGGGACAGGGGCTCGTCGACAGAGGAGCAGGTGGTTCTCGGGTTGGGTTTGCTCTTGACAGTTCTGTCAGAAGCCAACCACGCAGGAGGGAGGTGATGCCACTTTGGGCAGGGCTTGTGTTTTAAACCAACGGAAAGGACTCAAATGACTGGAAGAAACAGAACAGCTGCATGAGCTGCTCCTTGGAGCCACACTGCTCCTGGCTAGCAGGTGGCAGTTATTTGAGAATTTAAGAAAGGGCTCAATGGAGTAAAACCACATGACACTTCACGTGGCTCTTGGAGAGCTCTTTGTGCGAGGCTCACAGGATCTAAGATCACCGAGTACTTCAAGGTGAAAGCCACCATAGCCCTGGTCACACAGAGGCAAGATGGAAACTGCTCACTCTGTCCAAGGGCCCCAGTGTGTCTCTCAGAAACTGTGGACCACAGGCAGACATCACCCCAATCCTATGAATCCCTGTCATGAAAGCCAATTACTAATCCCACAATCTTAACGTCGAGTTCCCCTCAGAGGTCGGTCACACTGCTCATGTCTACACCGTCACTTGCGGGTTGTCCTGATAACCCAGCACACCCTGGCTGCAGTGCTGAGCTCGGGGGCTTCAGGGAGCCTCGGATGGTGGAACCCCTGCCCACCAGGGTGTGTATGAGGTCTGTGCTTTCCCTGTCACCTAGGAAAGGTCACATGACAGCCATCCATCGCCACCATGAGGATGGGCTCCCAGGCTTCAAAGCCTCAAGGCAGAGGAGACAGCACTGCCACAATGTCACAATGTGAAACTTCACAGAAAGTCTGTTCTGAGTTTGCACCGAGGACCTTGGACTGGCTGATACCTAGAACTCAAACTTCAGGAGCTGTACCGAGACCCCAACACCCCCACCCTCAACTACAGAGCACAGCAGGACTGGTCATCATCCACAGCCCTGCAGGTCACAGCACGTCACTCAGGGCACACGAAAAGCAAGCTGTTCCTTCTGAGAACACCCATGTCCGAAATTTTCAAAGACTTCTAGAGAATTTTAACATTCAGTGGAAGGTATGTATCTTACTTACACAGAATGTTCTTTTACAGTGTTCTACGAATATATTTTTGGTAAGACTTAGGAGTTCTGTCAAACTTGTGCCAAGTGGAAAGGCACCCAGATGAGAGGGAGCAGGGTAACCGATAGGGGTTTTCAGTTAGGCACCAGTCATGCACAGAGAAAGGTGACCAGTGTGACTAGCAGCGGTGGAGCTGGGGAGGAGGTGGACAAAGGAGGAACGAGTTTTCTCACTGCATTCTGCTCAGAAGAGCTGGGTGAGGCCTGCCCAGTCAGGCACATTCGTCCAGGGTGGGCAGACAGTGGCTTGGCTCAGAAGGCACAGGGTGACCAGGGCAGCCCTGACACAAACAAGGAGAAGGGGACTTGGACTTTGCTTAGTTGGTGCTCAGTATTCACAGAGTAAGTGATGTGGGGTGGGGGTCCAGTTCTCCCTGCACTCAAGGAGAAAGATTTACAAACACATGGGCCAAAGACCAGCAGCTGAATTTGGAGTGGAAACACTGAACATGGAGCCAACGCTGCGTGGGGGATGGGAGAGGGAAGTGAGTCCGGAGCAGAGACCAAAGCCTTAAGCTCTAAGAGGGTCACAAAACATCTCCACCCAACACCCAGCACCCCCTAAGGAATACGTTAAAAGCAAATGGCATACCCCTGACTTCTCCAAGTTGCTGATGGATAAACTGACCTGATGCCTTGGGGATTGGCCTGGTGTTTAGGGGCCACGTGGACCTCGGTGAGGGTGAGGATGGACAGCCATGGGACCTGTGGTCTCCACAGGGCAGGCACTGGTGCTGCCGTGGGAGGAAGCTGACAAGAAGAGACACTGAACACCGATCCAACATCCCCCCAACCTGGGGTGGACCATGAGGGACAGGAATGGGGTAACCTGAGTGGTGAGCCCAGAGCCATGTGGCCTCCCAATCCCTGTGATGGCTGAGTGATGGGAGCAGTTCACAAGATCACATCCAGAGCCAGCAAGTGACCCTGCACGAGCCACACATAGGCTCGTTTCCTCTCCCGATCCCAGTCTTCCCACCACTGAATCCACTGCTGCTCAAGCCAAGTGGCCTACACCTAGGGCTGTCACTTTGCATTGTCACAGTCTCATCCCAGCCATGCCAGCATTCTTGCAAATGCAAGAAGAGATGCCTCCCAGGTGGCCGCAGGGGCCCTGACCAGGTCTCCATTTCCAGTCCACATATGACTTACGTGTTTCCTTCTCTACACTTCTCGTTCCATCTACTGAGTACAAAGGTAGACCTCCCAAAACACTAAGTCCCCCAATCCTATACCCTGCTGGCAGAGCAAGGCAGGCAGAGCACCCCACTCCCTTCCCAGGCACCAACACCCCACACTGGGAGCCATGGGGCTTTCTGCTACCCCAGGTCCAGCGCGCTCAGCCATTCAGAGATGCGATGTCCATGAGGCACCAAATAAGAATCAAGCCAGGATGAGTTCCCCAGGGCTCTGAGCAGGAAGCAGCTCCCACAGCCTTGTGACCAGTTTGCAGGGGACACACCAGGAGATGGAAGACTCCCTTCTGCACAGAGGAAGCACCTTCTGACAAGCCTCCTGTTCTGAGTGTGCAGTGCACACCAGGCAAAGGGCCCGCCAAGGGGCAGCAAGCGTGGAGAATGGCCTTCCATGCACATACACTGCACAGCAGGGCACGGCCCACCTGGACCCTGAAGAGGATGCAGGAGACCAGTGCAGACCCGTCTCCTCATTCTTTCTATGCAGGTCTTCCTGGATGTAGTGTTAAAGCTCAAACACTGACAAGGTTTGGGCCAACCTGACCAGGTCCCTTGCTGCCACTGTCCTGGCTCACTGTGCACACAAAGACAAGCGTGTCTTGCAGCAGCATAGCGGCCTACATGTCCCAAGTCCCCAAGGGACACCTGTGTGAGCGCACACACACGGAACTACACATAAACACACAGAAACATGGCGACAGCACTTTGTATGAGAAACTGCTCCTTTATTTCTCCCCTATCACCTGTGGTGTTTATGGTTACAAGACATCTGCAATGTGAAAGTCACATTTTGAATTGCAGGGAAGTGGTCTTTCCATGCCCCAGCTCTCACTCTCAGTCTGGTTATAGGTTCTCAATCCATTCCTAAAGCACTTCTTTCTCCGTGCACTTTGTGCTTCTTTCCCCTCACTTGAAACTTGCCCCAGATGAGACACCCACTGTCCTTCAAAAGGAAGAGCAAAAGCTGCTCTGGTCTCTGCAACACTCACCAGGTGACCTGGAGCCTGGGCTGTGGGAAGGAGCCAGGCCTGCCGGGGTGCTGAGCTCTCATGCTGACCCCAAACACACACACTGACCACACCAGCACCCACTTCCTCAGCTGCTGTTCTGCAGAGAGACCATGCAAGCCACCAGAGTCCTCCTAAAACACAGCTCCTGGCTCCATGCAGGGCACTCTTCCTGCCAGCATCTTCTTCCTCACCCACTTCTGTTTGTCTCATAAAAGTCATTACCTATCTTCATAAATAAAAGGATGTAGTTATTCAATTCCACAAACAGAAAGGGTTTTTCTGGTCATCCAGCTTCTCTGGGTGTCTGAAGGAAAGCTCATCAGTCCTGCTCAGAGCCTGGCACTTTGCCTTGCAGGGTTTGGGGACATACAGGGGATACATACACAGCACCCACTCTGCAGCGTGTAGAGGCATGTCCCTTCCGCAGTTCACTGTCATGCTACAGTCTGAGCCCCTGAAATCGGGGCTCGCCGTGTTCACAAGGAGTGAGATGTGAAGGAGCAAATGGGTAACCAAACACCAGGTCATTGGCGATACCCTTGATCAGACTTCAAGCTAACAAGAATGGGGAGCAGGGCAGGGAATGGCACCATTTCTGACCTGCTGGAGTGAAGGTCAAAAGGACCATGCTATTCAATGACACTGGGGAGAAAGTGATACTCGTCACTGAGGCTCTTTAGGGGGACAAACATCAGCAGAGGATGACAATCAGGATACAATTCTTGGGGACCCTGGAGTCACCACCTGGGCAGTGGCCCCAGAACCGGCACAATCAGAATATCCTCAACAGGTCCTTCTACATCTGTGACCACATGTGGAGTTACCTATAAGGACATTTACATGGTTCTGAAGTTTTCAACTCTGTCACATTTACTTTCTTTCTAACAGAAAATTAAGAGCTTGACTTTCTGACACTTTTCAGTGTTAGACACTCACTGGGAGTGACAACTTCACCCACATGTGACATTTTCTTTATGTAGCCGAGTATCTTGAGTATTTTTATCATGCACGGCCCATGCAATAACTCAGCTGCACAAACTCACCCCTCCTTCCCTCCACAGGACGACAGAGGAAAAAACCTGCCGGGGCTCTGGGAACCTGTGACATCCCAGGTCCTCAACTGGACTGGTATGCCCACACTGTCCACTCAAACAGAACACCTACTGCCCAGACAACAGAACCCACCAGAGCCCTGGTCACTAGGGCAGGGAGCAGGGCTCCGGCCCCCGCAGGTCAGGTACCCACGAGATTCCACTCTGGGACTTGGTTTTCTGGGCAGGAAGGGTTTGAAAACAAGAAGATTCAAAACAAGACGCAGCCAGTGACATTTTCACTTCAGAGCCACCTGCCCAGGTCTGACACATCTGTGCAAGTGTGGCCACACTGCACAACAGACCACATGGAGGCCACCTGCCGTGGTCAGTACACTTTGTGGTGCGTCCTGGGTACCACCCTCCAAACACCTGTACATCTCGGGTATGACTGGCAGGAGGACCACATGAAGTCATTTACAGATGTCAACACAGACAGACACGTTTGCAAGTGACCTGCTGAGAAGGCAGGTTAGGTAAGCTCTGTGCATCTACGTTCTGGTTTCTGAAATACAAATGGCTTCAAAATATTGTATCCCAGATTAGGTAAAAACAAATATTTTTGTACAAACAATCTGAAAGCCCATCAATTCTCTAACACGACTTCCTTCTCTAAAAGGACTCTCAGCTGGGGACCCAGGGAATGCATAGATGAGGTGGATCCCAACAGTCTTGGGGACAAGGAGAACATAGCAGGCTCAGTACAGAGGCCAACTGGGAGCCGATGACTTCTGGATCCTCACAGAGGGTGCGCGAGGAAGGGTACCATAGCACCTGTCCTCAGGTGGGCACCCATCACTTTTACTAGTGACCTGGGCGAAGGAATGGGCTCCAAGCAGCTTATGAGAACAGGGCTGGCACGCCTGAGGGAGCACAGAGATTCAAAGGCTGGCAGGGAGATGGAACAAACCCCCAAGCAAGATGGACACCATGAGAAAGTATGAGAAGAGAGAGGCCCGGATAGAGAGCTGTGCCACGAAACAGTCCTAGGCACATGGTCACAGTTCAGGTATAATGAAAGGGGTTTGAGCCACAGTCTCAAACACCATCATCTCAGATACTGAAATCCAAAAGACTGAAATCACTGCAGTCTAAAATTTCTAATGCCTAAAATCCTAAAGCTCACAATCCCAAATAGAACTCTGGAAATTTTTTTCAGTTCCTTAGAAGACATTTATTTACATTTTTAAGGGCGGATTTATTTATGAAACAAATAAAAACACAACAGAACACTACACAGGCCACTTTGCACAATGAAACAGGTCATAACAAAAAAATTCCTTGGTGGTACTCGAGTTTGAACTCAGGCCTCACGCTTGCTCCTGGCCCTTTTTGCTTTCCTTATTTTTCAAATAAGGTCTCACACTTTTTGTGGAGTTGGAATGAGATCCTTATATTTCTGCCTACCACATAGCTGGAATCAACAGATACCACACCCAGCTTTTGGTTGAGATGGGGTCTCTCTAACTTTTGCCCACACTGGCCTCAAACCACGATCCTCCCAATCTCCACCTCACAAGTAGCAGGGATTATAGACATGAGCCACTGCGCTCAGTTATAAAAAATACCGCTGCAAGCCCAAACACTAATGACGGTAGCATGAATAGAAGTTACAAGCAGATGAACCAGAGTTGTAGAGAAGTAAGTCAAAAGTGAAGTGCACGAATGCATGTCACTGCAGATGGTGGCGGTGGCACCCAGCTCTGTAACTTCATCTAAAGTGCCGTAAGGGACAATGTGCCTTTTATGTGATTGATAAGAAACCCAAGACATTCACCACAGTGTAAGCAGCTGCCCCAAGACTGAGGTGCAGGAATGCAAAGGGGAGTTTCCTCACGTACTGAGGACATTTCAACATTTAAAAAAAAAATGCGTAAAACAAACCCAAACCCTCAAAGGTCTTCACGCAATTTATGCATCCAGTATAAACAAGGTACAGAAAACAATCCAAGGATGAGCTACACAGCACAGCAAACTGTAGAGAACAATACTGGCGAAGGGCGGGGGTGACCCAAGAGGTAGAGCACCTGCCTAGGAAGTACGAGGCCCCGAGTTCAAACCCCAGTGCCACCAAAACAACCAAACTATAATGCTGACACAGAGAAAAACTAAAAGAAATTCAGTAGATGAAAACGTGCCCTGCAGGGGGCTGTGAGCAACCCCACAGAACGGACCACAGGCACTGGCCGCCTTCCATGACCTGTAGCCGTGTCTTGAAATCACCCATCTCCACGGACAGGTTCTGTTCCTCTCTGGGGCAGAGCCCCTCTGAGGTTCACGTTCACTTCCGCGTGGTGCTGCTCTTTCTGAAGCTGTCCTTGGGCTCAGTGCACACGGATCCCGCTCTGGGAACACTCAGCGGGCTGGATCAGAAGGTCACTCAGTGGGTTGAGTCTTTTGCTCTCTGATGAAGGTGCTTCCTGAAGGCAGGCAGGGTGCTGGTGTGAAGGGCAGGAGAGGCACAAAACTGAATGATCCAGCAGGGATTTCTTTCAAACACCTGCTGTGCTTGCACCTAGGCGAGGCTGTGGCTCTAGATTCGGAGTGTGTGCTGTGTTTGAAAGCCTGGATACTGCATGGCCACTGCAGTTAGGAGGTTTTCCATCTTCACAGCACCAATAATGTCTACCTTCTGCCGTAAGCATCTGCTCCGTCTACCAAGACAGACCCCGTATGGGTGGGGAAACACCCAAATCCCTCCCCAGAACTCAGCCCTTCAAACCCCTCTGCCAGCCTTTTGTCCAGTAAGAATTGTAGTTTTCAAGATGTTGGCTTTCAGGCATTTCTACAGTTAGGGTTTTAATCTTTCAGGTACGTGATTTTGGGAGTTTTATACTTTACGGATTTTGATCTTTGGGGATTTTAACATCCGGCACTATGGCATCCAGGTTTGTGTCTTTGAGGAGTCTGATCTGCCCTGAACAAAAACATCCCAGCACACAGGGAGCCAGAGACAGGCCCACACCCGGACGTAAGAGAACACTGGACTCAGCTCGAGGCAAGTGGGTGGACGGATGGGTGAGTGGACAAATGGATGAGTGGATGGCAGGCTAGGGGGTGGATGGATAGATGGGGGGGGAGGGTGGATGGATGAGCAGATGGGTGGGTGGGTAGATGAATGGGTGGATGGGTGGGTTGGTGGATGGATGGACAGATGGGTGGATGGATGGACAGATAAGTGGACTGGTGGATAGATGGATGAACATGAGAGGGTGGATGGGTGGTCAAATGGATAGATTAGTAGGTGGGAGAGTAGATGGATAGGTGGGTTGGTGGGTGAGAGGACAGATGGGTGGATGGGTCTGACGGTCAGATGGGTGGGTGGGTGAGTGGGAGGGTGGATGAACAGCAGTTGCTTGAGGGCAGCCTGCTAGCAGAACATCAGAATCATTTTTTAAGCACATGGGCATCACTGGAAAGAAGTCACCAAGCCCATTCCTACACCAAGAATCAGCCTTCTGAGATAGCAGTTGACACATTAGTTTTTTCCTTAGGAAAACAAAACATGAC